TGTGTGTGTGATATTTTTAGGGTTGTTTATCATAATATTACATTATACTCATTTAGAAGAATAGCAATTATCCAATCATAGCTTAACAATCATAACTAGGCACTGCAGATCTGTGAAACTTTGGATGTCTCCACATGATGAAGGGCGTGTTACAGTAAGCATTTAAAGAGTTTGGAGGTTGGTGTCTTTTTTTTAGCCTTGTACAAGATTAAATTGAGCAGGAAGCAATAAAACGTCAATCAGAGAGACCAAGTTTTCATCCAATTCATGAAGCGAACTTAAGCTAATTGACTAACTAGCTACAGCTGATAAAGTCTGCCAGTGACAGTTTTCATTTCAACCAGAAAAAGTAGCTAGAAGGAAAAGCTGGCTTTTGTCTTCTGTCTTAAATGAGAGACACAATGTTTCAAAATTACAAAGAATTTTGAGTTATAATTGTAAAAATACAAGGCGGGGCTTAGCTAATGCTTAAGTATTGCACTAAATGTCCAACTCCAGGAACAAGAGCTACTATGTCGTCAAAAACTGTTATGTGCGTCATCCTCATAACCACAATCTATGAAAGCATTTCCTTAATGTTGGCTCACAAGAACCAAAATATGCAGTGGCAGCTATGATTAATGCCAAAAGGATGTTAGCATGCAGTCTCTTACTCTTCTTACAAACAACTGTAAACAGTGAAGGTGATCATCAGTCTTTGAACCATAGAGCTGTGTGTAACATGTTCCATTATTTCCATAAATGGCAAGATAAACCACAGTACTTACAGTAGTCAAAACCACAACCACAGAAAGTGTGAACAGATGGTAGTCGACTCTTCTACAGCGAGACAGATTTAACAGAAGTCAGTGAAACAGTCCAACAGTCTTCTTATCATGGGTCATTTTTGGTCACCCTGTGGTCATCTTTTTCAAAATTCCCAATTCAGTTTTATGATGACCATAAAAAGAAAACTAGGAAAAAACAAACAGTATACAAAAACACAATGATTACACCTGGAGGAGAAAGACTTTTTTGTCTTTAGCCAACATGAAAAACAGATTAGCTCTAGCGCTCTGCTTTTGTTTTGACTGTATAAACATTTACAGGGGGGAGAGGAATATTATCTTCACCACAACAATCACTGTTGCAAAAGCCACAGTCGTTATCATCACCATCATCCGCTCTGAGTTAGACTCCACAAACGGTAGCGGAAGAGGTGATAGTTTCTCAAATGACATAAACTGCTGGTAGACACACAGACACTCTCTTCCTTAATCTCTCTCTCACACACACACACACTCAACCAAATATATTGACTGTAGCATCAGTGTAGACTATGCTGCTGATAACTAAACTTGACACGTGCATATGCACAAGCAGGCACATGCTCATTGAGACACACACACACTCTCCAGCACACTGCTGACAGCAGCACATATACACACTCATACACAAACCTATCCACATGTCAGGTGATGACAGGTATGGCTTGTTAAGCGATCAACAGGACACTGACTCATTTCCTGTCTGCTGAAATGCGATAGATGTTCTTTATTGTATTCTGACTTTTAGTTCTTAAATTTCTTCTGCTTTCATGTTTAGTTTTTTGGGTTACAAATAATGCAGTTTGATGTGTGCCTGCACTGAAATATGCCTGGTGTATTTTCCTTAAAGTTTCAACCTGGAGTGCTTTCTCCCAAAAGTTCCAATCATATTAATCCATTCTGACCAAAACTACCCCCATTACTTCAATATAGGGTCCTGAGGTTGATGTAAATTGACTGTTTGCTAAACTTCTCACCTGAGCGCTGACTGACTAATTATAGTTTATCAACTGTACCTTTGGATTTCTCCACATAAGATGTTCTTGGGATTGTAGTAAGAGCAATACTTAGCATTTTTAAGAGTTTGGAGTTCTTTTTATCTAGGTTTTCCAAAAACAAAATCACAGCAGCAAACATGTTAAGGAATAAATTAAACAGTATGTTTGTCTGCTCTAACTAGGGAGGGAAATAAACGTAACCCACCCCATGGTGGGACTGAATTTTCAATCATCATTGCATATGAAAATAACACAAAAATGGAAACAATAGAGGGAAAACAAAACAGTGCAACAGGGACAGAACGGGGACAGCTGTGAGCAGTTATACTTGTGTGACCGCCTCTTGCAGCCAGGACCGACACCTGTAAAGTTCTCTCATTCCTGCATCCGGTGAATTATAATGTTGTTTACCACTACAAAAAGGGGAAAAGGGGTCACGTCCCCTGATCTTTCCATCCAGGGCATCTCACATGTTCTCTATGTGTCTTATCTGTGTGTCTTTTTAAAACTGAATTCTTTTTGTGCTGTGACATGTCATCATGTCAAACACCACACACAGCAAACTGTCTAAACATGACCTTTTTATTGCTGTGATCTACTGGAAGCGGAAGGTGACCTGATTAGGCAATGCACCAGGTAGACATTGTTAGCTCGCCTCGCCGATCTTTAGTGCTGCATTTGAAATTGAAAGCATTATTTGCACATGAATAATTCTTCACTGGACCTCCACAATGGCACTGGCTGTAGTTGCTAGGAGCTTTGTGACACAAATGCAGAAACTTGACTGATCCCCATAGTGAGATTCACTTTAGGCTTGTCAGACTGCATGCTTACCCACAGAACATCGGCGTCTCGCTCAGGGGACACTTTAACAAAGTGGATGCTCTCTGACATGGGGGCTTGAACTGTGGTCCTCTGGTTGCAGAGCAGTTTTTGACCACTCGGTCAATCTGCTGCCCTCTCATAGCCAGCATCTGGAAGGAGTGAGTAGTTGCTGCCTATTTGTGCTGAATTTATTCTCCGTGTTCCTCATGAGTTTCCAACATGGCTCATCAGTGCTACAGTAAAACACGGCAATTATAAACATGCATGTACAAGCTCTCTTGCATGCACAAAAAAGCAGTGCACTGAACACGCACAGAGACGCACACTCCCCTCCCATGAGACAGGTACTGTCTCTCCTAACAGTTGAATCAGTTGCCTCTTGATCTCTCTCCTCTTCTCTCACATCTTGGAAGGAGGAAGAGAATGTGTCACTAATTTTTAAGCTTTGTGTTTCACTACTCTTGCATAGTATTTGAAATTGAAGTTTACATGCTTGGTTACGTGTTAAACATTCTTCATGATGCTTTGTCACTTTGTACTCTGTTTACTGTGCTCCCAAATGCAAATTATTTCTGTTAAATTGCAGTTGTGGTGAACTTCTGTCTCTCTGTTACCCTTAGATTAACCCCTCACTGTCATCTTTATATCAGCCTCTTAGCCTCCCTTTTTAGCTCCCCTTCTGTTCAGCCTCTCTCCCCCTCTCTCTCCCCCTCTCTCCCCATTAAATTCACATTTCAGCTCCACCCCTTCCCATCTCTCTCTCGCTCCATTCCCCGTCCTCTTTGCCTGCTCCATTCCATATCTCCTTCTTTCTTATCGCAGTATGTTTTCTGCTGGGACCCGCTTTTTCTCTGCAGTATAGCCCCTGTGTCCCTCTGGGAAGGATCATCATCATGTTTGCATGAGTGTGTGTGTGTGTGTGTGTGTGTGTGTGTGTGTGTGTGTGTGTGTGTGTGTGTGTGTGTTTGTGTGTGTGCGTGTGCGCAAGAGCGAGCGAGACACACTTTGTTCTTACTATGGTCAGTCCAAGAGAACAAAAAACTCAGAAGTGGGCACTTGTGTGCAATGTTTTCCGGTGTGTGAATGTGTATTTGTGCCAGCGTCCGTGTTTATGTGTGTTAAGATAGTAAAATGATGTTGATCCTTCAGAGTGGAGTCTGCCTGCCATCAGCCTAATTTTCATCTTCACTTTTGGCTAAAAACAACTGCAGAACACCATCTTGGTTGCACTGCTCGTGTGAGTGAGATGAAAGTAAGTGTGTGTGTCTATATATGTATGTGTGTGAGAAACGTTTAAGGAAATGTAGAGCTCGATTTGTTTGTGGCCTTGCTTAGAGAAGAGTGTGAGGGGAAAAGAGACAATGAGTTTGATCTTGCGTGATTCCCCCATGGCACCTCTGGTTGTGTAACTGTTTCATTAGAAATATGAACTGTTCTTTTGCGCAAAAAGCAGCCAGTCAGTCACCTGTTTCCCAACTATGGTATGAACCTAGAGTGTCCTCAGGGCAAAGAGGCATGCACACTTGAATAGAGTATCTTCCTGCTGTTAAGTCAATCAATTTGCAGAGAAAAAAGTTTGATTTCCCTGGGAGAGACAGTATGACATCAACAAATTGTAACCTGGTGAATGAATAAGAAAACAGATTTGATCAAATGAGATATGAATAATATAGTCCGGTGCAATAAAAAACACCACCTTTTCTTTCTGAGCTCTTGTTATTAACCAGCATCTCCTTTCTGTAATGGAAAATAAATCACATCCTACAGCACAGGTTTTCATTCTCAGGCTTACACACTCAGAGCCCTGCTGCTTTTTTATTTGCTTTGTCTAATCAGCGAGTGATTTGTACCTGGGACGCAAAGTGATTGCAATCAACTAGCAGGTAGAATAGAAAACTTGCAGTACTTTGTGTCCCGAGGACCACTGACCTACTGGATGACATACATAAACAGCCCAACACCAGTCAAAAGAGGCAGCCATGTGGAATGAGAAACTCTCAGCCTTACACAACATGTTTCTTCCCCTCCAGGATGAAGTTCCCACACATGTTAAGGTCAGGAGTTCCCCAGGGTTATATTAAGTCTATATAAATGAGGCTGAAATTCACCAACATTTTGGAAATGTGACAGAATGACCTTGGCTGGGCTGAGATCTAATCTTTAACTCTTACCTCCCGAGGTATGATGTACAATCATTCACTAAAATATTTCTATATAAACACAAACAGTAACAGATGGGTTCAATAAAAGATTAAAATGAATTTGGACATGCATGTGGCATGAAAAAAAGTTTGGGGTTCCTGACCCACACACTCTCCTTCTCCAGTCTCCCCACAGTTTCTGTCATCCCCTCACTGTTCAGCCTGCCTACCTTCCAGTGTCACCTCTTTCCCGGCCCGCTTCAGCGCCTGCACAGCCTCGTCGTGGGTCGCGTCCCGCAGGTTCATGCTGTTCACGGACAGGATGGCGTCCCCGACGTACAGAGCCTGGGTCTGGTCCGCTGCGAGCCCCTTGAATATCTTACTGATGAGGATGGGCATTTTATTCTCCTTCCCCCCTTTGATGCTGATCCCAAGTCCTCCGACCTCTTGCTTGGTCACCTTAACGCACCGCTTTCTGTTGGCGATCGCCTCGGGCACTCGCTCCGGGAGGTCCGTGAACGCGGTGCGCACAGTTTGGCCGTTGTTGGAGTTGGTGTTATTGTTATCAAGGTAAGATCCGTTGGTAACGCCGTTGGAGTTGACATTGTCGTTCGCGTTGTCGTTACCGCTGCTCTCCTCGCAGCTTAACGTGAGCGCTTCCTCGTTCACCTTGACCAAAACTTTGTGCCACCGCTCCCGCACCAAAACCTCCGCAAATCCACTTTTATGCACTCCGGGGGCACCTGAAACTGCCGTCGCTATTACCACCGCCATCTTTGGAGCATTTCTTTAAAATGACATGTGATTTTGTTCCTAGCGCGCTCTCGCGCATTAACTTCCACTCGTGTCTCCCACACACTCAGTCTGGACTTTGCCCCTCTGAAGTTTTCTGCGGGACTTGTCTAGCGTCCCGACCAACCAGCCCGAGCCCTTTCGGCACAATCTGCCCTCCGCTCCGCCTGCCCGGGATCCTATCTGCTGGGTGGAGTTTGCTACGCTCGTCGTCAGCCGATCCCATCTCCAGATCATGTATGTACAAAATGAGTTCATCATGTCCCCCAGAACGTTTGAGAAATGACAGCTGATGCAGAGTTAAACAAGCATAAACAGCAAAAATCCCAATATTTACTAATTTTACTCGCATCATGATGCTATTATAGGCTATATACTGTGATGTACATCTGTTGAGTTATAAAGGCTAAACGGAAATTAACGTCTATTTCATGAATTAAACCACAATTGGGTTTAGTGAGTCATTAGGCTACATAGCTGAAGTAACATTTTCTTTATGCTCTCTCCATCGTGCATCATGTTTTTTTTAAATATACAGACGTATTTAAAATAATGACTAATATTGAGTTTACAGTCATCAAATGTCCAGTGAGTCCCACTCTGCCGTACTTCACCGCGTTGGACTCGGTTACGCGCGTGCAGGAATGCCCCTGTGCCAGAGAGAGAGAGAGAGAGAGAGAGAGAGAGAGAGAGAGAGGAAACTGACATGGAAATATCCCCTCTGAGGCTTTGCTCTCCATCTCTATTATTATTGCAAAGGACATCCTAATGCCCTGTCAATCATACGGGCTCGAGAGAGTTCAAATAAATGAGCTCAGACCGTGAAGGTGCAACCAGTGTTATCATGATTGGAGCCTCTGGGTGCCGTCCTTCCCAGGGATGACCCGGGTTCAAGCCCCGTGAGTGACAGGCAGGGATGCAGAGGGAAGATGGAGAGGCATGCCGTGATGCAGCTTCAGTCAGCCACCAGGACATGATGATGTTAGGAAAAAATTACCAATCAGCTGCTATGACTTCAAGGAGGGCTTCAAATGCATAGAAGATTCAGCTTTTTGGATGTAAGGACACTTAGATCTTTAAATATGCGTTTTCTTTTAACAGTTGTCACTCTGAAGCATGGCATCCTGCCTACAATAACTAAATGCAGGGGCACCGTGTTTCACACGGACCTATTCGCAACGTAGCTGCGACATCTACTGGTGACAATTTGTCCTGCCGTTAAGAATGAAAACATAGGGAAGCCCTCTGATAAAGAAAAAGATGCACATCGGGTCATTTGGTCCACGTGCAATTAAAATAATGAACAAACAGCATTAAAATATCTTCAGGCTGGGAGATTTTAATTTGGTTGTATCAACTTTTGCACTTAATTTATTGTATGGGTGATGCTTTGTATTGCTTTATGTTATTTTGTTATTTTATTAATCTTGCTGTGGGTTGACTATTGTCTATTTGGTGATACAAAAACACATGTCATGCCCTGGTGCAAAAAAGAAAAAAAGAGTAGCCTATTCAAGAAATACAACAGTAACCTTACTTTATTCCCCAAAACATTTAGTAATTTATTTAAATAGACTATTGTGTGTCATACACTGTATGTTTTGATTAAGATGCTCAGGTTAAGGACTATGTTAAGTAAATAGTGTACAACCAAGCTTCAAGATGAAGGGATGAGTCAAAAATCTCTATCTATCTATCTATCTATCTATCTATCTATCTATCTATCTATATATTTCTACTTTTTATATAGAGGAAGCTTGGGAAACCACTATATTAATGTAGTGCACAGTGTTAGCCCTTTGAGCTATGTCTTAATGCTAATAATTGATTTTACTGTATGAATGACTAATGTAAAGCAAAAAAGATCTATCTCTCACACTGGATCGTGTCTGTGCTTTATACATTGCATAGTTAGTTTATTATTATTAGTTTTTTATAATAAATTGAAATTGAAAATTTGAAAACAACAATTGGTCTAGTTTTTAACTTACATAAAAATTATATATTGAAATATAATGAGACATAAGGGCATTGTCTTATATTTTAGTAGTATATATTTCAGTCTGGGTTTCATAATTCATCATATTGTGTAATCACAGGAATATATAATGTAGGAGCCAAGCTTCCTCACTTGCCCGCCCTCTAAACTACATTGGATCATTAACTGCACCAAAAGGCGGATTAGCTTATTTATTTTGAGAGAAAGACAAACAGAAATACTAAGAATATTTTGGCTTAATGAGGTGTAGGAGCTATAATTGATTTTTACTTTTATATGGAAATGAGCTATCACATGAAATGTACATTCTTTGTTGTGGTAATGACCTTCAAAACAAACAAACAAACAAACAGAGAACACAGTCTTATTAAAGGTGATGGTATTTAAAGGTTGATAATGAATAATTTTTTTAAATCCTCAGTCAGCCTAACATGTTGACAATACACACTTTTTTCAGAGAGAGTCATGGTTTACACACAAACACAATCAGACATGCAGTTTGTATTGTTGGTCTATTGGCTTTCTGGAGTTATTAAGAAAGTGCTGTGATCAAGAGCACTGCGGCAATCGTGTTTCAAGAGGAGTTTCAAGCTTAAGATATACAGTATGTCAGTCATCAAAGATAAGGTTAGAGAAATATTCTTCTCCCATGTTCTGCACCATCATGTGATTTGTTCTTTCAGAATTTAAAAGGACCCTGCAGAGTTTTCTTGTAAACAAAATTTTAAAAAGTTCTGTTTACATTCACTGTTTCTCACCAAAATACAGTGTGAAAACATACCTTGTCTAGTTTGCATTCACGTTTACTTTTACACGCTTGCACTTTCACTTTCCAGCCTTTGTTGGTGCATTACTGGGCTTCTCTGTGCCTTACCACCGCTGACAGTCAATCAGCGGAATAGCGCAAAGGTGTTTATATGCTTGCTCAGGTGCATTTGTTTAAGTCACTGCTTCTGTCAACACAAAATTTCTATCAGCAATATTTAAATAATTTGCTATAAAGAGAAGTGACACAAGTAATGGCAGTTAGAGAAGAGGACATCTTGGAGGGGATAAGACTGAATGAATGTGAGAAGTCTTCCACTTATCTTGCAAATCGTCTTGCAAAATCAAAAGTTGTCCTCAAAACTTCGCAGACTAGACTTCGCAAAAAGTTGGTAGGCCTGTTACGTAGCTAGCTAGGTATTTGGACATCTGAATGACTGAGCGTCCGTTAACGAGCTGTTGGGGGAGAAAAACTTAATCACCTCCCAATTAAACACTGCATTTCAGTCTGACTGTTTTGTTGAGAATCCTTGAAGAGCTTTCCTTCCATAAATTGTACTTTACCATTTATACCATCTTCCATCTTCCTCTGTCCTTCTATTCATTCACTTGCCCTCCCCTCTCTCTTCTCCCCCTCATCTTTCCATTCTCCTATACTTACACTATGTTTAATTCTCACAGTAAGAAGTCAAACACCAGGACTTCAGGACTCTGAGCTCAATGTCAGAGCAGACGTCACTATCAACCTCCACTGGTTTGGCAGATTTTTGGTTATGGCTACTGCTGCTGCTGCTGCTGGCATTATTAGACTTATTGAATTGAGTTTCCATTTCTGAGATCAAGCTACAGAAGTGGAATCTACAAGGAGTAAAGACATGCCTTAGTGAAAACAGAAGAACAGTTCAAACTCAGATGACTGCTGAGGGCAGGGAGAGGAGAGAAGATTTATTTTTATTTCATATACTTCATTATTTGACATCCTCTGCAGGCGTCACATTTGCAACACAATGTTAAATCACTTTGTTAGAAAAATACTTATGTTACATCTGCCTCTCAAAGTCAAACAGATATAATCCAACATTTTATTAACATATCCATATTAGGTAGTGCATAGCCAAAAGTAATTGGATTACATTATTTATTCATCAAGTGAAATTTGCCAGCCTTAGCAGTTTACTATTTAACCCTCAACATTAAAAATCAAGTGACCATAATTACAATAATCAACAGTGGAGTTAAACTTGCAGACATATTCATATTTCTTTCCACTGATCTTAACACAGAAAGTAAACAGCTGCTTTGCTGAAGAAAGAATATTTGTGGAGTGATTCATTTCATTTTACTGGCAAAAACACTGAAACATAACTCCTTTAAGTTAACCCTTTAAGAGCGGAGCCATTTCACACTAGCTAACTCGATTCAGAGACAAATTTCCTTTTAGTGTTAGTCTTTAGAGTTAGGCACAGATGCACGTTGTGGTTTGAGACTGTGTTGTTTCAGTTGTGTGGATCTGTGATTACATTATGATACTGTGTAAGGGTTCTTCATTAGTGTTATTATCAGAAAGTATGCTCAAAATCCCATTTCTTTCAGTGTCATGATTAGTTTGACAAGGCTCAACTGTTACTGTAAGGGGTTAATGTCATGCACGAAGAGCAGATGGGTGGAGTATGAGGCAGGGGAGGAGGAGCACTATTGCATTTACGCAGAAATTAAACTCAAATATTAAAAACTTGTAAACAAAGTTCAGTTTGTGTATTTGCGCACAAAGAGCAACAGCCCAGCTGCATTCCAAGAAGGTGAAGTTCAACTGCCTTGTTAATATTTAATATTCTGATAGTAGAAAATTCATAGCTACAAATTGCTCTTAAATGCAGATGCAAGGAAGACTGGCCCTTGTTAATTATGTTTATTTGGTAAATAACTATAACTCATTTATTAGGCATTCTATTAAACTTTTTTGCAGCATCATGAGAGTCATAGCAGTCACTTTATTATCTTTTTGCAACCAAAAAATATCTAATGTACTTTGCTTTGTTTGTTTGTTATTGTTGTTCTCATACCAGTAGTTCCAAGGAGTTAAACATTATTGATGGCTCTTGGCTTTAAAAGCTCTCCTTTTCTCCTAGATATGGCTACAGCCAGCCCTTTCCTGTCTGAGGATCAGTTCCTGTGCTCCATCTGTCTTGATGTTTACACCGAGCCTGTTTCTATTCCATGTGGACACAACTTCTGCAAGCCCTGTATCACCAGGCACTGGGAAGGCAAAGAGCAGTGTCAGTGTCCACTGTGCAATGAGAAGTTCAGCAAAGGGCTCAAACTCTGTGTTAACACCGGATTCAGGGAGGTTGTGGAGAATTTCAAGAAACATCACGCGATAGCTGACAATAATTCCCCAGTCAAACCAGGACAGGTGCCATGTGACTGCTGCCCTGGCAATAAGTTCAAAGCCTCTAAAACGTGTTTGGTGTGTCTGACCTCTTACTGTGAGACGCACTTGGAGCCTCATCAGAGAGTTGCTGCCCTAAAGACACACAAACTGACTAATCCTGTGCAAAACTTGGAGGACAAAATATGCAAGAAGCACAATAGGATTTTAGAGCTCTTCTGCAGGAATGATCTGACACATATTTGTGTCCTATGTGCAGAACATAGCGGTCATGATACAGTCCCTTTGGAGGAAGCATATGTTGAGAAGAGGGCTCAGATGGGGAAGAAAAAAGCGGAAGTAAAGGAAATTAAACAGAAGTGTGGCAAGAAGGCTCAGAAGACCAAGAGGAAAGGCAAAAATGAAGCAATGGCAAACAGCGTGGTGTCTAATCAAGCTCATCACATTTGGTGGGTTCCCTGTGAAGACCCACACCAATGCAACAGATGTTTCTATGTTCCTGGAAACATGTGCTTTTCTGAAGGGATATCCTACTATGAGGTTCAGGCCGAAGGGAGTACCAGCTGGGATTTAGGAGTAGTCAGGGAGTCGATTCTTCGGAAGAGAACATTCACACCAAATCCCAGGAATGGAAAGTGGATCATAAGAATGGGGAATAACACCAACTGGAAGGCTCTACATGACAACCCTGTCCCCCTCTTCTTGATAAGGAAGCCTAAGAGAGTCATAGTGTTTGTAGACTATGACAATGGATTGGTGTCCTTCATTGATGCAGACACTGCCATCCTGATCTACGCTTTTACTGGCTGCAAATTTAATGAGAGAATTTTCCTGTTTTTAAGTCCCAGTCCTGCAGATGGTGTTAACTGGGCACAGAGGCTACGAACAAAGATTCAGAAGATGAAAGTATGGTCCCAACCTTCATATGCCTTTTACTACTTCATTTTTATGGTAATTCTGATTCTGATTGTATTTGGCTGAATTAAACATCACATAATTTTTTACAAGGGTTTAGTTGAAACAGATTCTGATGAAATGTGAATGTAGTAAAATCTGAACATGATATGTCCAGTTCCTGGATGATTTTGGAAGATCAAGCCATTCATTTATTTTTCGTTTAACTAAATATTGACTTTCTTCCTCTGTAAAGGCTTTTCATATTTGTCGATGATGAAGATGCATGTTCATTTTTGTATCCATATTTTAGCATGTATTTTTGTACTCACGCTTGTCATATGCATTTTACAAAGCCTTTAATGAAGTTAAATAAAAATATGTTTTTGCTACAGAAGTGGCTGCGGCAGCAGGTGGGGTTAAAATCAGTGACTCCTTCCCGGCACAAACTCATCTTTCACTTAATAATGTGTAATAGCATGATACAGGTTCACATACAGTAAGTCTGTTAATCCCACAAAATGTTTTGGAAGTTGTAATTATGACTTTGTATGCTTGTTTTGTCATTTGGTGTTGAATTTGTAAAATTTGATAAACAAAATGAATTTATCTAAAGCTTTTGTCTTTCTATGAAACATAATTTCTGAAATGAATAAACCACTCCAAACAATTAATGTAAGTACAGTACCTCACCTATGTTTACGTTGTGTGATTTCACATTCATGTTATTTAATAAGATCACTGTATTGACGATGGTGACAGATGCTATTTAAATATACCGCTAGAGGGCGTAATCTGCTTACTCTTCACACAAACAGTAGCACACACTCAATATAATTAAGATAAAGAGAAGATTAATTAAGATAAAACATGTCAGTTTAGACAGAGATTTCTTTTTTATTTGAGCCACTGAGCCACCACATTTTAAGCCTTTATAATGTATTTATAGGAACTGTTATGTACAATTAGTTATTTAGCCACAGTAAGTCTGAGATGGAAAGTAGTGTTAAACACAAATTAAAACTGAACAGGGAAACTGCACTATAGACTTCTGAGACTTAGACTTCTAAGTATAAGAGAAGAGCCATATCTTGGATTGATTACCATGGACTTACTGATGCCCTGACTTTTCACCATACCTGTGAACATTCCCATCAGCCTCAGCTGTATGCAAAGTGTAAAGTATCAGCATCTTTAAGCATCTTTCAGATTATTCTAGGGCAAATGTTTTTGTATTTAGAGAAGTTAGACGACAGTGGTGAATATTGGTGCATTGAATTGCTTTCAGCCCATTCATGACAAGATCAAGTGCATGGGCAGGTTGGCGCCATACATTTAGTAGGCCATTCATTATTGACCCTAGTGTCTTTTAAAAAATACCACTGGGAGTCGCCAAAGTAAGAAATGTTCACATTCTTAAATCCAATAGAGGGCTTTAACATTTCTGACCTAAATAATAGGATTAATTACATTGAGGAAATTAAGGGATTATTGAGCATCAATTAATGGATTCTGGAAGAATTGCTCCTATGAAAAGCAATTTCCACCCTTCAACAGAAATGGTCAGATTTCTATGCCTTCTCATTTCACAGAGCAGCAGCAGCAGAGAGAGAGACAGATCGAGTTTGTTGGAAAGTGTTAAAAAAAACTACACAGTCAGCAAACACAGCCAGTAAGCCTGAGAAGTCTGTTATTCTTTGACAACCAAACAGTTTGAGCAGCACTGAATCAAGACTTAAGTAGGTCTACCAATCATTGGAATGATTCTTTCTGTCAGCCATTTCACAATCACACTGACTCATACCTAAAAATCTGGTTGAATATTCTTTCACAGCCATTCAATAGATGTACTAAGAGTTTTATAAACGTGTCTGGAAACCTGCCAGGTCTGGCTCATATGCAGCATCCTATAACTCAGACAGGGGGGCATAAAAGAAAACACAACCTAGATACACTTCAGGCAGGACGTTGGAGCTGCAGCTTAGTGGTTGCTCAGCTGGCCTGGTCTGATATTTTCACTTTTTCTAGCCGTGCGGTCAGGCAGTAAGTCTGTCAGTTGCAGTCGGTCCATCAGTCAACCATTTATCCAGGCACTCAGTCTAGCAGTCATTCATATAGATAATCTCCCATTGAGCCGTGCTGTCAGCTAACAAGTTGAGTTCTGTGCATCTCAAAAATGGCAATGACATCTAATAATTATTGAGATATTTCATTCTGGACTAAAGTGGTGGACCGACCGACAAACAGACAGACATTGCCATCCCGAGAGCCATGGCACTAGCCTCTGGTCTGTATCCACAAATGTAACCAACATTACAGCATACACCTCTGCTCAACAGACACTATAACAAAGCAACCAGATGTGTTGACGACAGAGTTAGTTCCCTGCTGATTCAAGCTAATGATGAGCTAAAGTTTCCACTGCAGAGCTTTTTTTAGGAAGCAGGTACAATCCTACAGGGGATAAAAGGGTTTTCCATTGTGGCATTCCAGTTAGGGTTCAGGGAGAGAGGTCAATAGGTTACAACCCACTGTCAGTGGGCTCGGACGATTTGGTAACTCCTGGGGCCCATGTAAGAACATACTGGACTGTTAAATCCAGAGGAAGCCAACTACCCAAATGCACATGGGTATGGCTTGCAAATGTGTGTGAAAACTGTCAAGATGTGTGTTCACATCTAGGGGAAGGGATTATGGTATATAAACTATGTGAGAAGGGAAGCCTACATTTGATTCTCATTTGGTTAAATATATTTCGTCCTGTGATCTTTTATATTATTTTACTTTTATATTAGGTGTTGACTCTCCAGTGCTGAAACAATGTAGAGCAACCATATTGTTAGTATTAACACTTGACATACATTTATAACATAAAAACGTAATTTAGGGCAATGTTCTGCCACACACATGAGAAGATAATTGTTGGAGAAGCCACATGTTTTTTAAGTTTATTTAACATTTAGTCATGAAGAATACTCATTTATTGACATATACACTTTCTGGTGCTCCTTTCCCACCACCAGCATCAAGAAAAAAATGATTTTGGTATTGAATATAATAAAGTTATTAAAACATTGATACAAAAAAAATACAAATTTATTGTCAAATGTTGTTGTACAGATACAGAAACAAGCAGTTTGAAGTATAATTCAAGTAGTAAGCAAAACGATACCACATACCAATATATACAATTCATGCTTACATTGTTATCGATTAAAGCTGTGTATTTGATACACATTCAGTCAAACAAGCTATGCAGCAAGTATTTACAAAACTTTTGTCATAGTAAAAAATAGCTGTTGTTTATGTGCACTACTTTTAACAAAAAACAAACTAATATAATATTCCATCTAAACCTAGAAAAACATACATTTGCATTTATTGATGGTAACATAGACGTGCATTTTACAAGATTTCATGCAGATGTTAGAAATGACACCAAGTCACCATACACCTTTCAAGTCCATAGGTTGAGCCCTTGGTTTGGACTAGGTCAAAGTACACAGTCCAGTTATTTCAAAAATGTGTCCCATAGTTAATAAAATGTCCACAGCAGTGGCAGTAAAAGGTAATTCTTCATTTTCCTCTTCCTTCTTACTATTTTATCAATGGAAATAATGGGATAACAGTTATTTCTTTTTTTATTAATATGTTTAAGTGACATAGTACAGTAGTTGATTTAATTTGTTCTAAAAAGGGACATACTTGAGGCTACTTGTACCATTACATTGCTGAAGCTTTCCTTCTTATAATTTATGCTGAAAAAAACACACCGTGGTTTCATGTTCTTTGTCTAAAAGCGGCCGACCTGTGTGTCTGCACCACCAATAACACTATTTGACCTCTTGAATTGAAGCTGTTTCAAATAAACCGTCACAATCTCCTTGAAGTAAGTCAGAGCACCTACAAACAATTGTCCAACCCAAGTCTGTTGTGAATGGTTGGTACCATACTCTACCTGATCACCAGAGAGAACCAACATATCACAAGGTTTAAGTGCTTTGATTCTACTGAACAATAGTGACGATGACACTTATCTGTCTACAGGATGTTACACAATTAAACCCCTCTCCAGGACGGAGAGACACAGAGATTCTTAATTCCCTACAATCTCAACCTCAAAAGAGAATTCTCACTTTTTGAATACAAGTCTGATTCTGACCACAATAAGATATATAATCTTATTTTCACTGTGGATATGTTGCAAGGTTTAAGCCTTTAGATTGTACAGTTTTATGACTATTGCACTGTATATATCATATTGTGAACGGTCTTGTTTTAATCTAAAATTTAGAGTTAATGCAACTCATGTTTTATTCTAAAGACAATGCTATTGTCCTTCAACCCAATTTAAAGGAATTCCTGGATTAACAGACACACTCATCAGCTACAATCTTGACTTGCTGTTCATTATCATCTTACAGTATGACCTATAACCTCATGCCGCTGTATCCCACCTCTGATGGCTGCCACACCGCATTGTCTTGGGGGCAGTGGCTGTGGCAGGCACAGGTCAGGATCACCATGACCGGCCTCCTGGTGGTTTTTCCGTTGGCACACTGGAACTCCACCAGGGTGGTCTTGGTTCTGTGGGGGGTACAGCAGCGGCCGTCTGTGCAGGAGCCACAGTAGCGAGGCTTGTAGGCCTGGACGGTGGTGCAGTTCTTGTAGGAGAGGTGGATGGCTGTGTTACTCCTCACCATCCTCTGGCACTTACTGCCTCTCTGCGGGGGAGAGAAAGAACCATTCACTGAATGAATGTTTGAAGGAAATCCAACTGGTTCCAGATAAAAAGTACAGTAGCTTATGTATTTGCATGCTACTGATGTCTAATTAAGCTTAAGCAAATGTAGAAAGTTATACATGAAGAATGTGGCATCCAGGTTGTTAAAAAAAAACTACCCAAAAAGTACCTTTGGTGCAAGCTGTGTCAGTAGCATCTGGTCCTGCAGGTCGTCACAGGGTCTGATCATACAAAGACGGCTCTGCTTCACCATCTCACACCGACGGTTCTTATTGGTGACCCTGGTGGACACCCCCATGCCGCAGGTTTGAGAGCAGGCACCCCACTCTGTGGTCTGCTCAATGCAGTTCAGGCTGGGGTCCCAACCGTCAAAGCTCACTGTCTCCTCCTGACGATAGGCTGAAGGAACCAACAGATGGACAGAGGACAGTGGGTTAGGGTAGAGCAAGAAATCACCTAGTCTAGTAAAAATGCCACATGATTAAAAAAAGTTGAGAACCTAAAAGGGACCAGCGATAAATCCAAGAATGTTTGATAATACAATATTTAGTGAAAATGAATACACTTTTATGTGAACTGCAGTGTGAGGCTCTAGTTGTGAACCTATTTTCCTTCCCTTTCTCTTGGTAGGCAAACCCTTTCTGAATAAGTTTAAAAGCACATTCTGAAGAAACCTACTGTACAGGCAACATGATCTGTGATTCGATTCAACTGACAGCAGAGTGATGTATCACATTAATGTTTCACATTCCAGACTGAAGTGACAACACTGTCTCTTTCCTCTGCGTTTCCTACTCCTTTGTGAAACATTACTCTTTCCTTTCTTTCTTGGTTCCTCCCTTTCCCTGATCAGGCCAGAGAAATGTACATAACCTTTCAACTCTGTCTCACACTGCAGTGACACAAACGTCAAAGAGGAATGTGTGTGTGTATCTGTCTATACATATGTGCGTTTCCTCACCCTGGTTCCAGTCTACTCACCTGCCATTGCAAAACCTCCCAGTGCGCTAGCTTCGGCCTGGGGGTCACAGACCCACTTCTCGCAGCACTCTCCAGGCACCTGGACCCTGCGTGGCATGGGGCAGTCCGGGCCAGGCAGCATCACGTCCATGTTGCAGCGCGGCACACAGGCGATCTGCCCATCGCGGCACACGCACTGGTACTTACAGCTGGGGAAGAAGGTCTGGCCGTTCTGATATACAGAACCATCCAAAATGCATACATCTCCCCCATGAGCTGCAGGAAAGAGACAAAATATTGAAAAGTGTAATAGTGGTTTTAATTTGGGCTTCACAATTGGTAATGACCAATAACTGACGTCAGGATCTACCTTTGTACTAGCGTTTACCATTTACTTTACATCCTGCATAGTGTTTGGGGAATATCATAGCTTACTCACTGGCACAGATGCCAGTCCTCTTGTGGACGTCGCCTGCATAGTCACACTGCAGTCCTTTACGCGTGTCACAGGGGTTCATTTCAGAGCAGACCTGCCCTTTCTGACGGGCACACACCAGGCAGCAGACGCAGTCATCCAGGATCAGGGGCACTCCAGGAAGACACATGGGGGGCTCCTTAGGGCACTGGCATCTCCGAGGACACACCTGGGACCAGACAAGTGTAAACACCTGGTGGGAAAGAAAATGAAATGTTGTGTTTTAAATGTTGTTGAAAGTCACTTTCTCTCTAAACCAATGAATATGACTAGTTCTTGATTAAATCATACATACATAATCCAAATTTTTACAGGATACAAAAGTACTTTTAGGGTTGTGTAATTTTACATATCTAGTGGTGGCATTAGCAGAATAGCAACCAAAGACGTCAGAAAACTTAAAAAACTTTAACAGTTAGTTTCTCAGAGAAACTGACAAGTACTGTGGGTAAAAAGTGGCTAAAAGATGTTTTCTAACTAATCAATTTAAAAAATAGATCTCTAAAATTACAAAAATAACATTGCCTTTATGTCTTGTCTTAATTATTGCCTGAAAAATGACCTAAGAGCTTCCACAGAGAAAACTTATTTTTGTTTTTAAAATAAAATATTGTCATTATCTTCAACCTCTACATACTTGTTATCTGGTGTTCCTGTATAAAACACTTGAAACACACAACACAAGTCATAGAAGGATAGTTACTGTTGTAGTGCCTACCTGTGCTGTAAAGAAGAAGACAAAAAGAGGTCTCTCTGACAGATTGGCCATCTTCCTGTTAAGTAGAGCAGAATCAAAAATATCTGCAGTCTGAAAAGTGTTCTGTTGTCTTTAGCTGATTTGCACGCTTTGGTTAAGGCTTGAATCTTCCCTCCTCTCTGGCTGTGGTGTAGCAGAAGGTTGTGATCTCTTTGTCGTTCTGGCTCAGGACTCAGTAGAGGAGGAACTTATATAGAGAAGCTTTCCTGCTGGCACCATGACGACAAACAGGAAGGAATGTGGGAGCGATTGTCACATTTCATCATTTTATCGTGAGATCCTGTCAAAGAGGATACCATAAACATATGGAGAGGCACTTCAGCCGTCACAATTAAACATTCTGCAAAAGTAGTAGTAGTAGTCCTTAACTTGTATGCTGACACACACTTCACTTTATCCCAATTGAAATATTCTTATTGGGGATTTCCTCTCCAGTCCTGGATGTATATGTTATTACATGGGGCCTAGGGTTCCCTTACTTTGGTCTCACTGACAATGGGTGGAGACCCTTTGACCTCTCTCGCCGAACCCTACCTGGGAGGTCACAGTGGAAAACCCTCTAATCCCCTGTAGGATTGTTACTGCTTCCTAAAATAGCTACACTGTGGAAACTTTGGTTCATCACTAGGTTGGATCAGAGTGGGGCTGACACTGTGGTCAACACATCTGCTCAGAGATGTGTTATGGTTTCTTCCAAGCTGAGGTATGTAGATGGATTTGGGGGTCAAGCTGGCTGGAGCCCTGAATAGAAAGGGGGCAGGAACCAAATGTAGGTTTGTAAACGGTGGGGGTGACAATGAGATTATGGAATGTGTGTCTTTTGTATGTAAGTGCATCCATGTTTCATGTTAGCTGGACATCAATCTGTGATATTATGTTACATTAATTATTACATGTATTAATTGTTACATTATGAAATTGCTAATTGTATTTGGTTAAGAGTATTGTGTCCCCTCTAATGTCCCCCGGCAGCTAAGTTACATTCAGGTACCAGTGAATGAAACCTTTAGCATAGTATATGCACTACAGTTATTTGATATTACTATGTGTTTTTTGCTTATATTTTGGTTTTGTTGTTGGCAAACAGCAAGCATTTAACACAGGCTAGGAGTGAGGTTGGTTTCCACTTCAAATAATTCAATATAACCCCAAGTGATTATATTGAATTATTTGAAGTATGTGTATACATATTGTTGTGTTTGTGTAAATATATGTATGTGAATATAACTTTTGAATATGTATTTTCTTTGATTATAGATTTATTATCTCTGTAGACTTCTCATTTTGTAGCAATTTTATTAAATATGGTAGTAAGGGTATAAAAGTTTAACTTCTTCCTACTCCTTTTCACACATGTAAATAGAGGTTTTTAAGTACTGGAAATTATGGAGTTTTATTTTGTTGTTCATCTGTTTATTTACCTTTAAAAAAAATATTATTTACATGTTCAAAATAAAAGATAATAATCAATGAATCAATCAATATTTCTGATACGTGGTTAAGCATGGTTTGTTGTGGTGGCAGCCCAGCTGACGGTGAGTGTCCTGTTAATTTCCTTTTTCCTTGTGATTCTGTTTTTCCCTTGTGTTTTGGCCTGCCTGTTTGTGTCTCCTCCTCTCCCCCTGCGTGTGTTCTCCCTCTCTCTCTGATCCTGAGCCCAGCTGACAGTCCGCACCTGCACCTCATCAGGCCCCTCCTCTGCCTGCCACACCTGCCAACCTCATCTCTGCCAGTATTTCAACCCCGGTTCTCCACACAATCTCTTCTTGATTGTCGTGGTTCCTGACCTGGTGCCACTGCTTGCCTCGAGCCTTTTTGCCACATCGCTGTTCCCTGTTACTAACCCTGTCTGCCTGCCTTTTGTAGCACTTTTTGAAGTAACATTGAAATCCAATTAGCCAAACAAATATTAAAGACACACAGGATGTGTGAGGGTTTAAAAAAAAAAAAAAAAAAAAAAATTGGGGTTGTAGTAAAGATCCTCAATTTATTTTTATTCACTTCCTTTCACTTACCTCACTTCCTTTAGTTCCTTTTCTCATCACTGATTGGCTCCCGCTTTCACCTTTCATTTCTCCTGATTGACTAGATTGAGTTCACCTGTTCACACTATTTAAGGACTGTACTCCCTTTCACTCACTCTTTCACTTCCACATGGGGTGGCAGTTCTGGTAAGAGCATTTACTCTTTAGTTTTATCCTATGTCCATGTTTATGAAAAACTTAGCTTAGATGTTTGTCTTATTTCCTTGAAATGACATGTGAGTTTAGTTTCTAATCTTATGTTTGATTTCTTTCAGATTGAACAACTTGTGTCTCTTTTTCCTGATTATGTTGACCAATGCATCCTTTACATTGGAAGAAATAAAACGTTGTTCAGAGGACATTCAAAGTTTCCTGGCTCAGTTCTACGCATTCTGACCGATGCGCCCAATGACAATAGTAAGTGTACCTTTTGAACCTCCTACTTTACAGTATTTTGCATTAGAAATCCAGAGCACAAATTTAAATTTGAACTGATGCATGTTGAAAGGTGTGTGAAATTTGATAAATGGGCTTACACAGGAATTCCTTTAAGCGAGTAGGTAGGCATAAACTATGCTTTTGTAAGAGTCTAATGCTCAACATTTTCTGTTCCTGATACTTGACATTTGGTTGCACAATTTTATTATTTGTCTGTTGCCGTAACAATATCTTGTTCTTAGCCAATATCTAAAATATGTGACCTAGAAACTGTTTAAAACTACCACAAAACCAACTTTTATTCCTTCCAACTTTCTTCCTTCAAAAATAAAAGCTCACATCTCCAAACACCTTAATTTTTTGGTTGCCAACTGCTTTCTAAGTGACTTATGATTCCAGCTAGCGGTGGATTGCTTAGCCAAAATCTTGATTTAGTGCTCTTCAAACAGTTTGTGGAAGTTGAATGTCAAATTTCATAGGATAGTTGTTTGCACACGCTTTGTGGATTTCTGCTTTTTTCTGCTTCTACTTCGGTATTTTTCAAGCAAATTCTGACTCCATTCAGCTGCTGAAGACAAATCAGGAGATGATGCTGTACTACAGAGGTTTTGCTGTACCCATTTAAAAAATAAAATTTCCCATGCGCCACTGCATGCATCTGTCAGGTGAGTTGGACTCAACTCCTTGCTCTAGGCAACCGCTTACACACATTGGATTTGTTTAACTCCATCAATTTTGGTCTTTTCATTCAAAAATATGTCTTACTTTGAAAGTTTTCTCAGTAAGGTCTGATCACTCACTGGCATCAAAGTACAGCATAAAATTGCTCTCTGTTGCCTCCATTTCTCACATGATACTCTGTTGGGCTGGCAATCTGAAAGTCACTAATGGTGAAATTAGTGAAAAGCCTACCATGCAGTATTGTGCAAAGGTTCTAGATTTTTAGGTGTGGGAAAATATGCTGTAAAGTATGAATGCTTTCAAATAGACATTTTAATAGATTAAATTTATAACAAAATTCTAAGTGAATGAACAGATGAAAAATTTAAATTAAATCAGTATTTGGTGTGACCAGCCTCTGCCTTCAAAACAAGATCAAGTCTTCCAGGTGCACTTGCACAAAGCCAGGGATTTTGTGGTCATATCATCAGGTGCATGACTGAACAATTATACCAAAAAGGTGCCAATGATCTCAATTTCAAAATGTAAGTTGAAACGCATTCATTACCTGAAACAAACCGCTGTGTAGGAGGAATGCAACTGGGTGAGGGACAGGCAAACTCAACTAGCAAGGTGAGGTTGCTGAAGACAGTTCACTGTCAAAAGTCATACACTGTGGTGGCAAGACTGAGTACAGCAACAAGACACAAGGTAGTTGCATCACCAAGGTCTCTCTCAGGCAGACATTTAAAGACAGACAGGGGTTCCATGTGAAAGAAACGGTCAACGCTGGTGACTGTAGACGCAGTGGTGGGCCAAAGAAATTTACTGCAGCAGATGAAAGACGCATCCTGCTTACTTCTCTTTGTAATTGGAAGATGTTGAGCAGTGCTATCAACTCAGAAGTGGCACACCCATCCACTGTCTGGAGAAGTCTGGTCAGAAGTGGCCTTCATGGAAGACTTCTGGCCAAAAAGCCTTATTTCTGACATGGAAACAAGCCCACACCACCCAACTATGCACAAAACAAAATGGTGCTCTGGACTGATGAGTCAAAAACATGAAATATCTGGCTGTAGCAGAAGGTAGGTTGTTTGCTGGAGAGGCAACAAGCATGGTCGAGGTTCCTTGCAAGTTTGGGGCTACATTTATCTGAACAGAGTTGGGATCTGATCAGAATTATTGGTCTCCTCAATGCTGAGAAGTATATGCAGATACTTAATCATCGTGCAGTACAATCAGGGAGCCATCTGATTGGCTGCAAATTTATTCTGCAGCATGACTATGACACATACAGTGAAAGTCATTAAGAACTCTTTCCCTCGGTATTTACCTCACTGAAGCCATACAAGCTATGTCTTACTAGTATTTATTGCTGCTTTTACATATGTAGGCTATTGATGCCTTTTTTGATTTTATTAATGCTTGTATGTTGTCCCTCAAATGAAAGTTGCTTTGAATGGTTTAGCCCCTACAGAGCCCTGATCTCAACATCATCGAGTCTGTCTGGGATTACATGAAGAGAGAAAAGCAACTGAGGCTGCACAAACCCACAGAAGGACTGTGGGGAGTTCTCCAAGATGTCTGGGCAACCTACCTTGAATTTCTTCAAAAACTATGTGCAAGTGTACCTAGAAGAATTTATGCTGTTTTGAAGGAAAAGTGTGGTCACACCAAATATTGATTTGATTTAGATTTGTCTTCTGCTCTCTTTTTGTATTTTGTTAATTGATAAATGTAATCAATTAACATGTCTTTTTTTGAATGCATTGTTACTTTAGAGCATTTTTCCCACACCTGCCTAAAATATATGCACAATACTGTACATTCTGGAAAACTTAAGGCTAATTCACTATGTGACAGCTTGGCACAGTATGTAATAAAGTGTGATATCTCCCAGGAATGAGGTTGGAAGTCTGCATACGCCCATTCATGGTATCTGGGAAATATTTCCACTACCCCAGAGAGGAGAGAGTAACATATTGAAGAAGACAGATGTTGAAACAGAGCTCTAGGAATGAGGAAAAAATCAAACAAAGAAATATGAAGTAGGCAGAAAAGGAAGGATGGACTAACACTGTGGCAAAGACGTTGCCAATGTTGTGTTTTTTTTTTAACTGAATGCCTTTGTCCAGAGGGGGTCTGTGGTAAGACCAGTGACTGTTGAGATTTTACACTGTGTTATTATCACACTCATCTTTTGTTTACCCCTTAAATGTGCTAAGAAACGTTTCAGTGCTACTTTTAAATTGAGGTTTGACACAGTTTTGACTGTTTGACACTTTTGTAATAACAATGACCGATCACACAGTAAAAGCATTTAACCAACAGTCTGCTGTCGGTCTGCTAGCTGTTGGTGTTGGACTCTGCAGTAGAGCATCAAGTCGTTTGCCAAGTGGTCAGGCCACACAGTTGATGCCGCCACTGAGAGTTCACTGTGATTTGCTCTGAGTTTACACGGAAATTCCAACATCATTTTTGCAAATCATACAGTAGCATATGGTCAGCAGTCTGTGTGGCACTGTAGGTGTAGGATCCAGCATCTTCTTTGTTGCTTTTCCTTGTTCTGTTCACAGCTAGGAACTTCATTAGAGAAACGATAAAAAACATTATGTGGTGCATGTTTTAATTATATTCTGTTGACATGCATCAGCATGTTGATTGTGCATGCATCAGCATGTTGATTGTGGTTCTTACCAGCACTTGTAGACAGATTGATTCATGAATACATCCATGCTTGCAGATACAGAACACATGAAGCAAACCTTCTCAAACAAAAAGAGATACAAAATCATGTTACTGATTACTAAGTTATCCATTTATCAACAAATAACTTGAATAATTCCACACGGCTAAAATAGCATTTCCTTCAGTCCAAATATTGTTTTTCTTTTCTTATTTTCAGATCATTAAACATTGGCTTCCAGTCTTCAGGCATGTAACTCCGCAGTACACTATTACTGGCTTACATATGACATCTGCTGAAAGGAATTTTAATCACTGTTGATCCGTCAGTGTTGTTGGACACAAAATGGAAACGTCTGCTCAATGGGCTATACAGCCAGTGAGTTAAAGCGTTGCAGATGTTGCTGCAGGGATTGTTTGGAAACCGTTTGCATTTGACACGGAGTTCATCTCAGGCTCTGTTTGCATTTAGGGTGAGTTGAAAAGTCCGGAAAAAATGTCTGGTTGTCAACACATTTGCTCAGGACCATGTAGGTGCAGGGAAGAGGTGTGTGTGTGTGTGGTATATGTCCTTATCAATATCTCTCTCCGCCATTCACTTTCTAGCAGGCCTTTCCTTTCCAGGCCTTTCCTCCTTCCTATGCCTCCCTCCAATCCACCTCTCTGTCCTACTTTCTCCCATGCGTGTGTCGTTTACATTATGTCCTCTACAGCTTCACAGACCAAATTGAGTGCCCTTCATAATTTCAATTTGCTCGCCAAGTGGCAGTCATGCAGTGGGCTCAACAGCTTGGGAGGCCGCCGCAAATCTCTCACTCGAGGTTTATTTGCTGTATGTCACTACACATGAGCTGAGACACCGGGACATAGGCAGATGTGTATTATGGTGGGTGGCGGTGGATGGACGCAATATGGAGCTTCCTCTAATAAAACATGTACAATGGAAAACGCTCATGGATGCATTTCAGTAGGATGTCAGAGGCTTTATGTTCTGAGAGAGCAGACAGAAAGACTTGATGGCATCCTGTACAGAAGAGGAAGCAGTGAGTGGGAATACCTAGAGAGCCATGAGACTGTCAAAGAGCTGTTTTGTGGTTGTTAGTTAGCAGGATATCTCTTAACCATAGACACATGTTTGTTTGTGTAGAATTGGATCTACTTAGGTGCAAGTCCAGAAATATGTTAAAAGATTTAGACAGAACATTTCCAACGAGGCATTTTTACGAATGGGGAAAAAAAGTAATGTATTAGAGCTACACAAATAAATCAGCCACTATTATACCAGATGATATTAGCTTATTGCAAATATTTGGGTATCTGTTGACATTTTGGCCGAGAAGTAACCTGAAATATCAGTATAGAAATACTTAAAAGATGTGCAAGGTCATTTAGAAACGGTGTGTCTATAACATAGCCTTACTGATACTGGCGCTTTAAGGCAGATGCTGATGTTTGCGGGTTGAAAATAATCTGATAACAATATATATCAGCTGATAAAATCATTTCTTTTACACATGACAAAACCAAACAATCTTGATGCGGATCACTTAGAACTGTGTCTGTAAAGAGTGTGTCTGAGCGGGTCATTTTACAATAAACTTGTCACTCTCTGGTGCACAAAACTATGCGATGGAAACACTTTTTTAAAATTATGTCAAGCCTAGTGTGTCATTTCTGTGCTGGAATTTCTTTGATGTTGATGAAAAATATGTGGAACAAGTGAAAGGTGGTGTCCTGAATGTCTTTTGAATAATAGCACTCCATTTCAAAACCACCAGTGTGTGACCTTGGGAAATGCAGCCAGCTCAGAGCATAGTGTTTTTGGAGATTGCTCTTCCAGTTTAGTCTGTCTGTATGAAATGAACAAATCACTATCAAAGCTCTACTTTCAATTGTCCAGCATTGCATTGTGCTGTATTCTCTGTGGAAACATCTAACAAAGTCAAATATAGGTATAAGTAGGCTGTATATAAGTATTATTCACATTGTCCAACTTAAAATGTTTTTTGGTACCAGTGGTCACAGTTTGCAGCCACGGATGGACAGCATCTCTTTCAAAGAGATGTTTTTTGTTTTTAACTTCATTTTGGTTGAATAACTGAACACATGGCTGCCTCTTGAGGGAGATCTCATACAAAAACAAACAGAAATATTCAAATTTATGGCCACATTTTTACAGGTATTATTTTTAGCAGTGCACAGCGAGCACTGCAAACAGAACAAACCCGAGGAGGGCCGAAAGGAAAGATGAAACACAAATATTTCGTTCTGGAAGGAGGATCAGATCACAGCTTGACTTTGAAGTTTGATGTTTATATTAAGATTAACAGTTATCACAGAATTTAGCTTGGCCTGTAAATTGATTCATACAGGGTATATATAGACACTGTATTTTGTTTTCCAGGAGGTTTGAGTCATTAAGCCATGTCTCATTTTCACAAGTTCCAATGTTGCTGCTACCTGTTTTTTGGGGGCAGTGGATGTAACTTTACAGTGTTTGTTAACCACATAAGACAGTGACGCAAGTTAAGAGATGTGCGTCACACTTAATAAAAGACCATGACCACACATTTTGCATTATTTACCCCAACACCAGTTTAAATACAGCTCCCTTTTACCACAGTTGACATGTTGTAAGGGTCGATGTATGACACATGCACTTTATGATATAGAAATAGTCATGCTGTTAATGGATTTAACAGCCTTCACTCTTAGTTATGGATCCTTTCTTGGAGCAAAGTGTAAAATATTTCCTTATGCAAGATTTGGCTTCTCATTTATCAGAAATATGATCAGATGTCAGACTTAAGTAATTTTGTACATTTTTATTTAATTTAATGTTTGCTGCTACAAAACATTTGAAACATGCAGTGTACGTCTGCAATCTCATGAAGTCTGCTAATTTATCAGACAGTTATCCACTAACAGCTGCCTCAAATCAGATCCATTATAATTCACATCAAGAATAATGAAATCGGGAGGAAAAAAAATTTCTTAAATAACATCATTTAAGAGTAGCACTTCTCTATGTCACTTTCACATCTGTCTGAAAAGATAAAAGATAATTTAAATTGCTGCCACAAATTTCCGTGAGATCTTGTGCCAACTCATGTTTTTTCCTTCAGTCATAAAGGTCATTGAGGTGCTCAGCTGAAACCATGGCAACCACTGACCTGACAGATCCATACATTGTGAATTATGTTTACAATTCAGCATATAGGTTCAATGAACTGCATTTAGTGCTGGCATTTTGGGAATGGGAATGTTAGGTTTCACCTAGGTGAGGGAAAGAAACGCAACCTTAAAGAAGGCCAGAGGGAGACTTGTAAGGGTTACAATTTACAGCACCGTTCTTATTTGTTATTTACATAGGGAGAATGCTCTGGAGCCAGAGAAGAAAGGGAAAAGAAAGAAAGAAAAGGCATGGTGCCGTGGCCTTTATAAATTTAACTACTCATTGTTTTCAGCTGAGCACATAAGCTTCATGCAGCAAGCTGGCTATTCTCTCATAATGGCTGTAAGCTGTTACCTGAAGTAAAGGCTGTGCCTGGTCAATGCAGATGACATGTGGTAACATACAAGTTTTCTGTGTCAGGATGACTAGAAAAGTCATTGTTGATACAAAACAGTTAAAAAAAACAGGACGATTTTGTGGCTGGCTATCAGCCATCCTGTTTCTGGTAAGCGCTAATGAACAGGCAAAAAAAAAAAAAGATATAATGAGTTATAGTACCATCTTCTTGGGATGAAAGTGAATCTACTCACTCTACTCAAGCTATTTTAAATACAGCTATGAGGACGACAAGTTTCTGTCAGTTCCAGAGTATCACAGTTGATTCTCCTTTCATTTATTTCATGCGTTTTTGAGCAACGATTAGAAGAAAACAAGCTTTAAATAGTTCTGCAACAAGTTTTCAATACTTCTAGAAGTAGATAACGAGGGTCCACACCACAGTGTTTTTGTTGTGTTTTTTTCTCGATGTAGTTCTTGTAGGTTTCATTTTAATCAAGAACTTACTTAAAGGACTGCAACTGCGTCGGCCCGGCCACTAGAGGGCAGCGTTAAACAATGTGAACCTTAAATGATGCTCCATATGGAAGGGAGGGGTCTTTGAGCTCTCTCTCTCTCTCTCACTCAAACTCACTCTCACTCTCACACACACACACACACACACACACACACACACACACACACACACACACACACACACACCTACCTAGTTTCAAACAGATTAATATTGATTATTGATATATTCAGCATACTCAGCTTCTGGAGGAAAAACTCTTTCTTCTGCTGATATTTCAAGGTCCTGACTAAAAGGTAGTTCATACTCACATTCATGAAAACATTCTCTGATAGGAAAGATTTTTCTTGTTTGTTTGTTTGTTTTTTTTAAAATCTTTTGTTTGTTCAATTTTGTAGTAAGCTAAGTACTGTTCATTTATCAACAATAAACCAGAAGCAGTGGAAGGGTGATTGTTTCTGGTTTACTGCTTACATTTTTTAAAGCTTAAGACTTCAAATCAGGGTACAATGCAAACAAACTGAAGAGAATTCAAAAACTGTGGTTGCTATGCCTAAGACAGAATTCAGGCATTAAAAGTAATGTTAAAACCCCTTCTAAACAAAGTAGATTACAAAATAAATTAAAGGTTATATACTGATGTGCATAAAATGTGTATTTATTCTTTCACAAAAGGTTATACACTGTGCCCTTTAGTTTGACCATAGCTTCCCCCCCAATTACTCTTGGTTTCGCATCATTTGTGTTGTCTTCCTGGCTTCATCTGCAACAGATCACGCACTAGAGCTATAAAGCCGAAGGTGAAGCACTTGTTAATGTGACAGCAATGGAGCACCCTGAAATAAATCATTACTTAAGAATTTAGTCCCACCTAACCGCTTGATAACCTGTTTAGAAGCTCAGAGAAATGCTGGTTCAGGGCTGTTTGAGGCCACAGTTCAATAACGACCACATTACTGAATAAATTGAAACAATGTCTTCTTGGTAGGCTGACAGTCAAAAAACTATAAAGAAAATTAAAGTAATTTAGTTCAGACTCAGTGTGTAGGAAATGTTTTCCCAAAGAGAACACAATCAGAGAAAGCAACTTATCTCATCTTGTTGTCACTTTTTCACTAATAGAAATAGGTGGTTTTCTTTTGCAAATGAAAGAAAATAAATTATTGATTCAGCATTAATTAGTGGAGTGGAGTGCCTCCAGTTTGATGATGGGAATAATCATAGTATTCTATTGAAATTCCCTGCAACTGCACCACAATAACTGATAAACATCCAGGGTAAATGAGGCCTGGGACAGTGGGGAGTAAAGCTTTCAGCCTAAATGGGAAACTGTGTGTTTTGCAGCAGCTGTGTAGCAGCTGCTCCGCCCACGCAAATACACACAATCATAAGCCCTTTACTGTACAGCACAATACACATGCAAACACTCACGCAAGTGTACTTATTTACCGTATCTAAACACACTATGTAAAGTCTCTTTTTATGTTTGTAATTGTGCCTCTCTGTTAAATGAACACAGAGATAGAGACAATATCAAACCACACACTATAGCTTTGTGGGGACTTAAAGGGCCATCAGGCGGTAAAGCTTTTAGGTTCGCAACATTAGCTCCCTTTTAGTGGCCAGAAGGATTTCCACCTACTTAACCTCGTCTGTTTTCATTCTCTGGCTTCTACTTAACGAGCAAAGACTCGCCCTGTGAACTTGTTGCATCTCACAAGAGAAGAGTCACAGTGACCTGCGCTGCAGAGTGTCTGGTGGAAATGAAGACCCTTGTGCATTGTTCAAATTCACTACCCTTACGTTATGTTCGTGGCTGAAAACAGCCACTACTTTAAACTGCTGTAAAAATGTATCAGATAAATATTTTTAAAAAATTATTTTGCATAAATCTATTAATCAACTTCAGTCCTGATCAAAACGACTAAATGTTTAAAAAAAAAAAATCAGGATTTTAACTCTTTAATTGCCAAATTTATAAATGATGTCACTGATTTGGGAAAAAAACAACACAAAATGACTTATTTTCAATATAAAATGTAATTGTGGACTGGATTTTTTTTTACCTTTTATCACAGTCTTGGACATGTCAAAGATTAGAAACAACATTGTTTTTGATGCATTGTTAGTTTTTGTGCAGCATCAGATTTTAACTTTTTCTCCCTCATTTACTGTTCGTGGCTGTTTTTTCCCCAACACGTGCACAGTGTTAACTATACTTCATAATCAAGGTTTATAAAAGGTTTTAAATGATACAATTATGATTTGTAACAAATCTAAAATAATAAAATACAAACTTCTGCTTTATTTCTATTATATCGTCATATCAAAATGTTACTTTCCTCAGTAAGTAAAAAAAGTTTAATTGTATATATTTAAAAGAGCTGTTACATCACAGTCGCAAAAATAGAGAAAAGGAAAAATCAATATGGTCTTCACATGTCATTGTTTTATTTCCTCAAATGCGCATTATATTAAAATTACAACAACATGCTGTATTTGAGCCTTCTTTGGCAGAGAAACATGCAAAGAGCCAAACGACATTAATGGCCAACATACTCCAGCACCAAATTAAAAAGAAGACAAGTTTATATGACAAT